AATAAAATTTCAACTTTTTGCTATTTAAACAACTGGCAATTTATTTCATCAGATAGCGCAGTATAATGTGATTAATTTATATTTACAATTCGAAACTTTAAACTTTTAATAAATTTATTATACCTTATTTATAAGTTTTAATGTAATACTTGCTGGATTATTTAAAATTCTCAGAAATACAAGCATATTTTGATCTTTTCTTTCCCAATGAACATAATTCTTCCGAACATATATACATCCATCAATCCAATTTGCTCTGTACACCTTGCCAAACTTATCATCTTCTGCAATATATTTAACATCATGAAGTCTATGATAAGGTATCCATTCTAATGCATTTTTTACCTCATAATAATTATGAACTGACAGCTGAATATCTTGAATAAATTTATCAATATCAACATTACCACTAGTCCAATATTTAAAATCTTGTTGAAAATGTATTGAATTACACACTTCATCACATTTTTCACATATATCATTCAAAACTACCATATATTTCTTGGTTTCTGGATCTTGAGTTATTCCATAAACTTTATACTACAATATATTAAAGTAGAAATATCAGCAAAAGTAAAATATATATCTATTTGTTTTTAAATCAACTGGCAATTTTTTTTCACAAAATAGCACAGTACAATTACATTAATTCACAAAAAAATGAAACTTATAATAAATTCATTATACCTTATTTATAAATTTTAATGTAATACTTGCTGGATTATATAAAATTTTCAGAATTACAAATATATATTTACCATCAATCCAATTTGCTCTGTACTTATTATCTTTTGTAATATATTTAATACTATGCAATCTATTATATGGTATCCATTCTAATGCTTCATCTGCATCATCATGAGCTGACAGCTGAGTATCTTGAATAAATTTATCAATATCATCATTACCACTAGTCCAATGTATAAATCTATTTTGAAGATAAATTGCATTACACACTTTATTACATTTTTCACATATATTTTCCAAAACAACCATATAGTTCTTGGTTTCTGAATTTTGAGTTATTCCATAAACTTTAAAAAATACTGCAATCTATAATGTATTTAAAATTAGAAATATTAGTAAAAATAAAAATTTCAACTATTTGTTTTTTAAACATCTGGCAATTTTTTTTTTTTTCACAAATGATACAATTAATTTATATTACAATTCACTAAAAAAATGAAACTTTAATAAATTTATTATACCTTATTTATAAGTTTTAATGTAATACTTGCTGGATTATTTAAAATTTTCAGAATTACAAACATATTTTGATCTTTTCTTTTCCAATTTCCACCACCTATATGTCCATCAGTCCAATTTGCTCTGTACACTTTGCCAAACTCATCATCTTCTGCAATATATTTAACATCATAAAGTCTATCATAAGGTATCCATTCTAATGCATTTTCTACCTCATAATAATTATGAACTGACAGCTGAGTATCTTGAATAAATTCATCAATATCATTATTACCACTAGTCCAATGTATGAATCTATTTTGAAAATGAATTGCAATACACACTTTATTACATTTTTC